TACGTGAGCTCATTCTGTTTCCATCATAAATAAAGGCGTTGCGAGCTTTCCATAATTTCCATGCGATAATTCCTGGGAGTATAATCTTAAGTGCTCCTTTGAAAGTTTTCAAGTTACCTCTTACCCACCATGAGATTGCATGTTGGCGAAGTAAGAGGTTTGACGTGAGCATGGGAGCATCCACCATGCCTGCGAAATAGTTCCAAACAGTTTTGCTCTCTTTGCAGTTGAGGAGGCAGTGATCCAAGTCTTCTTCAGAGTTAAAGCAAAAACTGCAGCGACTAGGAAGTGCAAGGTGGAATCTTCGAAGGTTTGTAGGGAAAGGAAGGCAGTTATTGAAGATCTTCCATTGGAAAAAACGAAGCTTTGGGATTTGCGCTTTGTGCCAGATAAATTTGGTTGAGAGAAGTGCAGGTAGATGATCCTCAGTGGCTCTATACGCTTGCTTGAGAGAGAACTGACCGTTATTCCAGAGGGCCTGCCCGTTGTTCATTTGTGTGTGAGAAATGCCCAGAGAGTGAATTCTACATATTTGTTTCCATGTTGGGGAATCTGGGAGACGTTCTTTGATGCAGCCATCCTTCATGTATTTTGCTCGAACCAGTATAGCCCAAGGACTTTGATCATGCTGAGCTTTCCACCAGATTTTGAGAGAGTATGCTGTTTCAATTTGTAAGAGGCTCCTAATCCCGAGGCCCTCAACATTCTTGTTTTGGCATGTGAAGTTCCAGTTCCTCCAGTGGTATTTAGCCCTGCCATTCCTTTGGCCCCAAAGGAAATTAGCCATAAGGGAATTGACAGTTTTGATGATGGATTTTGGGAGGGAATGGACAGCAATAAGGTGGAGTGGGATGGAGGAGAGGACATGTTTAATGAGAATAAGTCTTCCCATTTGACTGAGGGTTCTGCTATACCAAGAGGAGAGATGTTTGTATACATGGTCCAAGAGAGAATCACAGTCTTTTTTTTTTTTTTTTTGAGAATACCTCTACGTAAGGTGGCTCCCAAGTAGGTAAAGGGGAGGCTTCCACACTTCATGGACAGGGCTTTTTCCATCTTGAGTTGTTGATCCGCAGTGGTGGATTTTGGAGTGTAGAATCTGCTTTTTGAAAAGTTTATCTGCTGCCTGAAGCCTGCATAAAAACTTTAAGAATTTGGTTAAGTTTAAGAAGGTTGAGGATGTCCCCTTTTGTAAAGATCATCAAGTCATCTGCGTAAATGAGATGGCTGGGCATCTTAACACTTCCCAAGTTGAAACGCTTGATAGTGTTGCTCTCCATGGAGTGGTTTAGGTATCTGGAGAAAGCTTCAAACCCTAGAATGAAAAGAAGTGGAGTGAGGGGATCGCCCTGTTTAACTCCTCTGGTCATGGGGAAGAAACCGTGAGGTTCACCATTGATGAGGACAGAAATGAAGGAGCTCCGGAGGTTTGCCATTAACAGATTGCTGGCAACTTGAGAGAAACCAAACTTTCCAAGAGTGCCCTCAAGAAAGCTCCAGTTCATGTAGTCAAAAGCTTTTGCCATGTCTATTTTGATGAGAAGGTTACCCCCAAAAACCTTTCTGTCTAGTCCATGTATGGCTTCTTGAGCAAGGAGAATATGGTCATCAATGGACTTACCTTTCTGGAAAGCTCCTTGTTCTGGTGACCATATTCTCCTTGCTCCTTGTTCTGGTGTATATATATATATATACCTTTCTAGAAAGCTCCTTGTTCTGGTGACCATATATATATATATATATATATATATATATATATATATATATATATATATATATATATATAGGAAATTTTATTAATTAAAAACGAAGAATGGTACAAGTTTGATCACAAAGAATTGCTCCTTTAACAGTTTTTGGGAGCAATTTGAAAGAAGTGTATGATTGAAAATAATTATTTCTTTGGGCAAATTTGGCAAGGTTATGGGCTGCAGTATTTGCTTCTCGATAGATGTGTCTAGCATTGCCTTGGATTTGCTCGAGAATTTGTTGGATTGCTCTGCTTGTTTCTTGTAGGTCATTTCTGTCATTGATTCTCCGGATTGCATTTTTGGAGTCCAAGTGCAAGTCAATGGGTCCATGTTGGATTGAGATGGCCCAATTAAGG